ATCCACCTGGCTCTGCCTCCCAAGTGCTGGGATTAAAGGCGTGCACCACTGCTGCCCAGCTAGTAGTGACCCCTTTTATCCTTGTTTACTAATAATTTTAGTCTTTTTTTTTTCATTCTAGGTAAAGATATGGTAATTTTTTTTTAAATGTCAAAGAACCAAGTTTTAGTTTTAATGATTCATTGTATTCTTTTTCTGGTCTCTACTGTATTTCTACTCTAATCTGTATTATTTCCTATTTTGGATATTATTTTCTAGTTTCTAAGGTAGGATTTTAGGTTATTGACTTGAGATCTTTTTAGTGTAGGCATTGACAGCTATTCATTTCCCCTAAACATTGTTTTCATTACACCCCTAAGTTTTTTATTCTTTTTGAAGTATTTATATTTATTTTGTATGTATGGGTGTTTTGCTTGCATGTATGTCTGTGGTGCATGCAGTGTCCTCAGAGGCCAGAAGGCATTGGATCCCTTGGAATTGGAGTTATTGATAGCTGTGAATCACTATGTGGGTACTAAGAATTGAATCTGGATCCTCTAGGAGAGCAGCAAGTACTCAATGTCTGAGCCGTCTCTGTAACACTGGTTTTTGTGTTTGTCTTATTCTAACTTCCTCTGTGAGTTCTCCTTTAACTTATTCTTTAAGAGTACTCTAGCATGCATGGATTCTGATGAGAAGTCAGCTGTTGAGGCTTCCCCGCACACAATGAAGTAGTTGCCTCTCCTTTACTATTCTGAGGTTTTATCTTCCAACAGTCTAATTACCCTGAGGTTATAGAATTTAGATACGTAATGATTTCCATCAAGTTTAGAGGGTTTGGGCCATCATTTCTTCCAAGAGCCTTCTTTCCCTTTACTTCTACAGTGCCCATTATGCGTACGGTGCTACAGCCGATGGTGTTTGTTCTTTTTCATTCTTTAAAATTTTTGTCACACAAACCAGATAACCTTAATTGACTTACTATCTTCAGGTGTTCTGATCCTTTCTTTGCTCTGTTCAAATCTGCTGCTAAATACCAATGAGCTTCTCCATTCAGTTATTGTGCAAAATTGCTACTCCAGTTACTTTTTATAATTTCTTTACTGATATTCTGTTCCATGAGACACTATTCTCATGCTTTCCTATTTTACAGGGTTGGAGCTCTTTAAACATTTCTCTGACAACTTAAAGTCTGCTATCTGGCTTTGTCAGGAGCTGTTTCTCTTATGTGTATTCTGCCTGCATGCCTGGTGCCCAAGGAGGCTAGATTGGGCATTTGATTCCCTGGTAATGGAGTTATAGATGGTTATGAGTTGCCATGTGGGTGCTGGGAACCGAACCTGAGTCTTCTGGAACAGTAGCCAGTGCTTTTAACTGCTGAGCCATCTCTCTAGCCCCTAAGAGATATTTGTATTACTAGCTTTTACTTCCTTTTTATGGGTCACACTTCGTTTCTTTTCACATCTCACTATTTACTTGAAGATGGATATTTCAATTAATGTGGCAGCTCCCAAAGTCATATTTTCTTCCTTTCTTGGGGTTATTGTTTTTTGTTGAACTAGTTGCTGTGGGAGGATTCCCGTTGGGCTACACCTGGTCTGGCTCCAGAGTGCTAGCACCTAGCCTTAATCCAGCTTTTGTTTCTCTTGTTGCCCTCTATGTGAATCTTGTCTGAGAGTTTCCCAAGGGTACAAACCATATGCAAAACTTGGTTGGGAAAAATCTGGCACATTGTGATATTCCTTAATCGAGAATTTGTATTTGGTGTTGTCCCTTTGGAAGCTTCTTCAGGATGTTTGGGGGATATGGAAATCAACTTGCTAAAAGTGTAAATTTGGAGAACAATGAAAATGCCCTTGGCTAAGGGAAGGTGTCTCAGTTCTGATTCCCCCTGAAGCTTGAAAGGCTAGAGACATCCTAAAAGTGGCTGTGTCTTCTTCCCACCGACCAGTGTGAACCCACACCCATTCAACAACAAATTGCTGTGTTTGTCTAGGTGACTTTTCCGATCTAATTATGTGAAGTGTGCATCTGCACTGTGTGTGACTCAAGTCCCTACTTGGTTAGCTTACCTCTCAGCTAATGACTCCATGGAGATTCCCTTAAGCACCAGGAACCAGTATGCATTAGTCTTTGTCAAGGAGCTCTATGACTGTTCGGATATGCCTGCAACAGTCAGGCAGTTTACAAGTATACATAGCTTTTGCTTCCTGCTTGCACTGAGCCTGAATGTCAGGTAGAACTTCCTAAGCATCTGAGTGGTCTTAAGCATGTGTATGCCTGTGTGGGTTCCTACAATATGCTGGCACTTTTCAAAGCCCTTAATTGTTCATTCAGTTCTTTGCGTAGTCTATTGTTTTCCCCACCTGCTATCCATTGCTTCAGCCATGATATTAAAATATTTGACACTTGTGTCCTCTTGGCAGGATGGTTGTTATGACTTCGATAGTTCCAATGAGACCACATTAGGACATGCCTTTTTAGGAGGCCCTCCACAGTCGTCCTTGGGATAAGCCTTTCAAACAGCTCCAGCCCTGTCTGCTCCCTTGGTAGAGATACTAGGAATGGGACTGTCATTTCTCAAAGGTATCAAAGAGCTTCAGGGGGGCAAGACAGAACTCGACTAAGAGAAAGGGCGACATAAGTTGCCGAGATTGGGCTGCGTTTCCTCTGGAGGAGTTGTTGGGAGCCTTTAGTTAACTTCCAGAGCTCTGAAATAATTAAGTGTTTTCCAGCTTCCTCACTGCTTCTGTGGAAAGACCCACTATTTTTACCATCATTGCCTGTCAGCCAGTCATATTGAAATGGGGGAACTGTTATGGAAGAGCACTTGTTTGACATGCAAGGTTGAAAATAATAAGGCTTTATAACAATGTCAAAAGTACAAATAAACAGTTAAATGTTTTAACCAAATAAAAATATTTAACAATCAAAATATCAAAAACACGCAGTAGTCTAAGAAAAAAAAATTGCCCTTCACAACCCCTAGTGCATTTTCATTTGTCCTTGTTACAATCTAGTCTTCTTTATACTTTTGTTTGTTTGTTTGTTTGTTTTTTGGTTTTTTGACACAGGGTTTCTCTGTGTAGTTTTGGTGGCTGTCCTGGAACTCACTCTGTAGACCAGTCTGGCCTTGAACTCAGAGATCTGCCTGCCTCTGCCTCCCAAGGGCTGGGATTAAAGGCGTGCCACAGGCACCGGCCCACTTCCTTTTTTTTCTTACATTTTTATAGTAATACTCCCTGCACCTTCCTGAGGATTGACCTTCAGTTCCCCATTTTTTTGTAATATTTTATACTTAGAATTTTATATTCATTTTAAGTTTATAAGTGCTCACCTCCCAATTCTCTGCCTTCAACTCTTCTTTTTCCACTTTCCTTGAACCTCCTACACGCTCTCCCTTAACCAAAGTGTTGAGCTTCCTCCATGTTCATTCTAAAACATCCTACTGGTACACTCTCAATCATGGGCTGGCCTTGAACTCAGAGATCACCTGCCACTGCCTCCCAAGGGCTGGGATTAAAGGTGTGCCTCTCCACACATGGGTTTAAAAGTTTTTTTTTTTTTTTTTCAAGTGCATGAGTGTTTTGCCTAATGTCCGAAGTCCAGAAGAGGGTGTTAGATTCCTCCTGCAACCCGAGTTACAGGCAGTTGTGAGCCGCCATGTGGGTGCCGGGAACTGAGCCAGGCTCCTCTGCAAGAGCAGCAAGAGCTCTTAACCCCGGCGCCATCTCTCCAGGCCCGTGGACTATTTCTACATAACGATCTTCTCTCACAACATATGGACGTCCTTCTCGGTCAAAGACAGAGATTTAACCTACGCTTGTTAAAGCCGTGTCGTCCGAACAACAGTCACACTGTTCTCAGTACTCGGTCCCCTCTTGTGAACACGCTTTATGGATGCTTCTCTTTCTGGGAAAGACTCCCGGGGGAAGGAACGGGAGATGCCAAAGGGCACCCTTACTTTAACAGGCGTTTCCCATTGACTTACCCCAAGATCGGCTGACTCGCGGGGTAACCCATGGGGAGTCCTTGCGGGGAAGAATCTCCAAGTCTCTGTACAATCTTTATTCAGACGGGGCGAGGGGCGAGGGATCTGCCCGGTTAAAGGACACACCTACCCCTTCCGTGCCGGGAAAGACGGAATCCGTTACGAGCGCTGCCGCTCAAGTACCATTCGGGCCGGCCTCTCGACTCCCCGCCACTGTTGGCATTCGTTCCGGGCTGGGACGGGACCAGGTCGGCCATCCCGCTCCCGTGGTCCGCCCGCGAAGCCCGCGTTTGCTCGGGCGACCCCTGAGCCCCTTGAACGCGCCGCGGCGGCG